TTTGTTGTTACGCTGGCCCTGCACTCAGTGGCGATCCTAAGGTCCTATCGTTTCGTCCTTGATGTTTGTTACTTCACTCAGGCGTTTATGGCTGTAGCCACACAAACAGCAAGCCTTGCCGGTGCGGCAGCTTGTGACATCATCGCGCATCTATTGTGAATGTTTATCGCAGCAACGTGAACAGCGATTCGTCGGTATTAAAGACAGCAGCAGTGTCGGTCAGCAGAGTCGTTCTAGGGCCTGCGGCAATGCAATTTGCAAGCGTCTTCAACATGTGATATTTGGTTTCTCCGTAAGAGCCGCGCAATGCAGTGTTGTTACCATTTTATAAGCCTTGTCAAGGCCTGTCCGCTCAGAAGAACCCTTGAATAACTTATGGGAGCCCTTTTCAGAATGCATGCAGAGAGATCTACAATAACCCCAAACGAGAAAGACTAGCAAATTTCATAAGAACCCCTTCATGGTTTTTGCAGAAACTCGTAAGAGCATTGTAAGAACCCTGTAGTTAAGTACTTAAGAACTCGATACACATACGAACCCCTAAACAGCCATATAAAGACTCTCTAGCACAGCTTTCAACAGCTTATACACATCCTTGCACAACCCACAGGCGGACGTGTGCGAATCCTTAAGGCATCTGTGCGATCCGTCAAGAACCAGTCAGAAGTAAACCTTTGCAAGAAGACAGAAACGAACCCGTACCGACGAGACGACGGACCCGGCCCCAAAAGAACCTTCACACGAAACTTCCATCAGACTACTTAGCAGAAGCCTGTGCAGCCTGCAAGACCCTACAAACCCTGAACCTTTAAAGCCTAAGCCTCCAGATTCTGAAACCGCAAAAGCCCTACAACCCCTGAGCCTAAAAACCCTAAGCCCCATCAAAGCAGAAACATCCCAGGCCAAGACCTACGAGTGCCCTTTCGTTGACAACAGCGACTGGCCTGGGCTTGGCTCGTCTTCTCGGGATGGGTGATTGTATGTCTTTGCATTTGGTCTGGATCGTTCGTTGGGTTTTCGTCAACATAGTATTCCTGTCAAAACATGTACCATTCTTGTCGTGTTGCTGTTTTTCCTTGTTGGTTTAGTCTTGTTTTGTTTACTCTGCTTTGTGCTATTTAGATTGGAGTGCAAGGGTTGGGGTATTCAAATAGTAACCCTTATAGTAGCCCTTGCCGTATCTTTTTGACTATAGCCTTTCTTACCGAAAACCCTTTTTTGCTGCCCTGGTAGTAACCCTTAATTATATCCCCTGTAGTGACCCATAAAGTATCCCTTTCGGTATCCCTTACAGTAACCCTTACAGTCTCCATATCCCTCTTCTCTATAGAGAATCTCAGAGGCCTCGTTTTAGTAGCCCTGAAAGTATACCTTGTATCCCTTAGAGTAGCCCGTTGTACTACTTGTAAAGATCCCTAAGGGTCCAAGAAGTAGTATACTACAGACTTTTGTGGGCAAAAGACCTACTAAGCACATACTGACATACTATATTGGTACTTGGACCCTTTGGGCTACTCTAAACCCTAAACCCTAAGCCCTAAACCCTAAACCCCGCGCTTCTTGGAGAAAGGGTTCATATCAAATTAAAACCCTAAACCCTGAACCCTAGGCCCTAAACCCTAAACCCCTAAACCCCAAACCCAAAACCCTGAACCCTACACCTAAACCCTAAACCATAAACCCTCTACTACTACTACTACTACTACTACTACGACGGCGACGACTATTACTACTACTATATACTGCTACTACTACTACTACTACTACTACCACTACTACTACTACTACTACTACTACTACTACTACTACTACTACTACTACTACTACTACTACTACTACTACTACTTCGACTGTATCCCAGGCAACTACCGCGAGCAGTCGTGGTCTGGCCACGACCTCTGGCCCTGGTTGCAGAAGGACGGCCTGGCTCTCAAGGCCAGGAGGGCTTAGGGCTAGGGGGTTCCGGGGTTTAGGGTTCAGGGTTTAGGGGTTAGGGTTCAGGGTTTAGGGTTCCGGGTTCAGGGTTCAGAGCTTTGGGTTCAGGGTTTAGGGTTCAGGGTTTGGGGTTTAGGGTTCAGGGCTTAGGGTTTAGGGTTTTGAGGGTCGGTTTAGTGGGGTTTCGGGCTTTGCTTGGGGGTCTTGAGAGGAACTTGGGGTTGAACATAGGGTTGGGGGTTAGGGCGAGGGTTCAGAGGGACTTTGTTTTTTCATGAAAAAGACATGTTACTTTGAAGCTTTTTTCATGGGTTCAGAGCGGCTTGGGAGGGTGTAGAGTGACCGGCTCGACGTTTAGGGCAGGACGGTCAGTGGGTTAAGGGGTCTAATATAGGGACCTACATAATTTCCTACACTATTTTGGGGGTTCCTCATTATAAGTATAGTATAATGGGCCCCAAAACCGTATTCTAATTATCAAGGCCCCTCTGTTTTGGCTTTGGTGCGATCTGGCAGCCAAGCCGAGCGAGGCCTCAGGAGGCATCTAGAGGTTTGGGCTTTTTACCCAAAGGGTCCTATGTACTGTTATGGGGAATACTTCATTGAGTCATAATAGTAATTCCTAATATGGGAACCCTGCATTCCACTATATCGGTGCATAGGACCCTTTGGGGTGTTAGGATAGTACACGTATGGGTTTGAAGGAATGAGGGCTGCAGGTTTCGAGATGGTTTGGAGATAGGTGTAGGTGTGTGTGTGTGTGTGTGTGTGTTTTTGTGGCTTGATTTGCCGAAGTCGATTTGAGTGAGGTCAAGCACGAGCAAATTTTAGTGACTAGTTCATGAACTTTTGAGTACGCATGTTTGTTCTGAGATGTCGACCATTCGGGGGGTGGGAGGGGGGCGGGGGTGGCGGTTCCCCTCATTTCCCTCAATGGGGGCTTCCGAAAATAGGGACCCTTAATATAGTAGTACCCTGAGCACGAGGATCCTTATCATCAGGATCCCCAAATGAGGTACCCCTAATTTTCGGAAACTCCCTTCATGTGTCCATTGAAGCAGGTGGAATACATCTTCGATGGAGACCTGGCTGCAAGCCGCGGAATCATGTCGGCTTTGCACCGTGAAGGGCTGTTGTGTTGCGTTTCAATAGAACGTGCCAGATGAGACCATGCATCTCTAGCTCCCTATCCTGCCACATGAGGTTTCGGGGAGTTCTTGCCATCCAGGGAGGTGACTCCCGAACGCACGCAAGCGCCGACGTCCACGGTCAGCGGCAGGCTGAGGTGTCCTTGACTTGGTTATTGTTAGCTGTTAGCAGGGCTGTAGATTCCCATTGCACCACCGTTGCTTGCGTGTGTCTCCAAGGAGATTTTTCATTTTGTCAATGAGAAGCAGTTCAAGACATAATCGCTTCCCCTAATTTTAAAGCCACCCTGCACCCTAATATATAATTAATTCGCCGCCGGGCTTTTGCGATTCCGGGCCCACAATTGACAGTTAATTAGAAACATCAGGGGGGAGCTAGGATTGTATGAGTTTAATGGAGCCAAAGACTACAGCGGTACTAGTCAGACCGAAGAGACCAGAGCTTTAGGGTTTAAGGGTTTAGGGCTCAGGGCTTTATAGAGTTTAGAGCTCTAGGGCTTTAGGGCGGGGCTGTCGGCTCTACAGCCGGAACGGCTGCGTGATGGGCGGTCTTTGTGTCTGGCTCATTATTATATGCGACTCATACGTATGTGGATGCCCCGAAACCCCCCCAATATTAAATTAGAATCCCGGAAATCAATTTTTATATTAGGGGGAGGGGGGGGAGGTGAAATAGGTGGAAGGGATTAATAAGAGGAAACGCAAGCCAACTCCGTGCCAGGATACCTTGGTCTGAATATGGTGGCCGCTGACAGCGTGTGCGCATGCAAAAAGAGCGCAGCTACGGAGTCAGGAGGGACGCAACAGACCTTCTTAAAGGAGGGAGACGATTAATCTCAACGAGCAACCCCCTGGCTGGAGCCATTTCTGCTATGCTTTGTGCATCTGTTACGCCTGTGACACCAACAACTGCGACAGCGAGCATGTGCACTTGGTGCGCCTGTCGTAGCGCTTAGCCGCAATATAGGTTAACATAATATTATAACAACAGAAACACCAATGGCCGCCTTGCCGCATGGACTTCCAGCAGGCGCTGGTTCGTTGGATTGTTTGATTGCTTCCGGATGCCACGTCGTGGCGCCTAGGCGAGCTGTCGCGAGGAGTCTACAGCTGTGGCACGGAGCAGGGTGTTTTAGGTGCTGTTTCGATAGCTGGCCATCAGCCTTTTCTTGCCAGCCGCGTCTGCAGCCATTTGGAAACAGCCGTGGTTTGCCGCAACGAGTCAGTTCCAAGATGATATTAATTGAGACAGTTCTTGTAGGTAGACATGGACCCCCAAACCCACACTTGAGCTAAACAGTAGCAGCTTCCGCATAAACTAGTTTCTGTGCCGGAGCATCTTGGCAGCATTGGCTTCAAGCACTGCATTCCGCGAGTTGATGTTTGCTTCTGACCCCGCTCGTATTTTCTTTATATACACATGAAATCATAATGTTCTTGCATATACGCACGCACGCAGGCGCGCCAGCACACAGTCGCAGAGACACACACACACACACACAGACAAGCAGAACAAAAAAAAAAAAAACAACAACAAAAGGCACAAGACAGCCGGCTCATATACCTAGATGCAAACCTCAGTGAGACCGGCAAAGGTCAGAATGTCTTTGAGAATCTTCGAAATCGATGGCACCCTCGGGGCTTGCCAAGGCACCGGGCCGAATTTCTGCTCAATACCTCGGTGTTTGGGAAGTTTTGGAGGGGCTCCGTATTAAAACTATAATATATAATGGCCCCAAAACCTTATTCGAATTTCAGTCTAAGCTTGGGGTTCAGAGGTTCGGAGCCTTCAGGCTAGTGCTTGTGAAGTTTGCGGGTTGGAAGATGAGACTTTAGGCTAGGGACTTGTGGGATTCTTGTTGTGAGCCTGGCAAGACATACCTCGGCTGCGGGCCTGGAGGGCACAAGACCCTGCAGGTCAAATTTGGGATCGAGTGAACGGTCCGGCCCTCAGACTTCTTGCGTGTGCGAGTCCAAGAGAATTGAAGCAGCTTTTCTGCTGATATGCACTTCTTGGCCCATGGGACCCTTCCCAGGCTACCGCTACTGGCTGGGCGAGCTGGAGAAGAACGAGGGAGGCCTCGAAAACTTCGCAGAGGGCTACAAGATCTTCGGCTTCAACCGCGAAAAAGGCCAGAGCTGCATTGACTCTTACAAGCCTCACCCAGCCTTGCTCCTTTGCACGATCTAATTGTTGTCCGAGACCTGGTCAGCTGGCTGCGCACCGCACCACCATCTGCATCGTGAGCAAGGTCATCATAACCAAAGCCAAACATCACCATTCACCGGCATCCTAACCAGCATTCTTTTCAGCCTTCTTCTCGTCAACATCAACATTAAAGTAAGTTATGCGCGTGATAAGGGTGTTTCACGGACCGGAACCCTAATCTAGAGCCACGACTGCAAGTATTTGTAGTAGAAGGGCCCTTTAACAGGGATCCCTGATCCCTCCTTAGAGTACTCCCCCCCTTCAACAAAAGATAAAAGCGTTCATGCCAAGATCTTGAGGCAGACCACCCCCAGTCGTAGAGTCTTGGAGCCGAAGACCCCTTAAGCCCTGAGCTCTGCAACAAGCTTAGGGCGTAAGGCTTGGAGGCTTAGAGTTTAGGAAAGCCATTGCCCACTTACACCTTACTTCGAACCCCGAGACCCTCGAAAACAACCCAAAATGCGGAACCAGGTGGCTACACGTACAGAGAGTGGTTGCCCAATGCGAAGCAGGCTGGGGCGCTAGATGTTCAGGAATGGACCTTTTGAGGAAGACGGGGGGGGGGAGAGAGAGAGAGAGAGAGACAGAGATCAGGGGCGCACAGAAACATTGCAGGCAACCTGTGGGGGTTTATATGGGATATCCCTATCCCAAGTTTTGCTTCTGCGCGTTTTAGGGGCCCTATAAACCCTAAATCTTAAACCCTCAACCCTAAACCCTAAACCCTAAGAGAGGCTTACCTAATCGGCGCCTTCAACGACTGGCAAAATTCGACGCCTCTGAAGTCTGAGGGCTTCGGGAGGTGGGCGGTGCACTTTCCAGACAAGGCCGGGACCAAATGAGTTTAGGGTTTATAGGGTTTAGGGTTTTAGGGTTTAGGGCTACGGGGCCTAAAGAACTACCAATACCAGGCTTTTGTGGGTGGTTATAGTTGCAATACATTATTTATGAGTTTTTGTACAGCGTACCCCAAAACTCTGTTTTAGTCATTGCGGCGTCGATATTAGAAGGTTTGATGTTTTGGGTCTAGGTTTATAAAGGGGTTAGGGTCTTGGGACTTTAGGACACATTCCCGCTCCGCAGCAGAAGACTTCTCCAATTGCGGGACGCTCTAGGCTTTAGGGATTTTGAGGTGGAGGGCTCCCCGACGGTGGTTTGGGGTTTGCAACCAAGACTTGCATGAAACTTCAAACTTTGTTGTGTTGTGCCTAAGTATGCGTTCGCTAAGCCCAAAGACCACATCCTGACAAGGATCTTCCTTGCACATATCCTGCAAAATGGGATCCTTGCTTTCCGGGGCCTCGTTTCTGTCTGAACTCTAAAACTTAAACAACCCATGCAGATGGCAGCGGTCCCAACAACGAAAATCAAATCCTCCTGAACCCCCAAACCCTAAACCTCAAACCCTAGCGAAAGGCGGATGGATCTCCTGGCATTCCCCACGCCACACAGGTCAAGGTCCGCCTTGCCCCCAGAGTTCAGGGTTTGGGACTCGGGTTTCGGAGTTAGGATTTGGAGTTATAAGAACAAAGGATCTAGAGGAATAGGGCTCGGGTTTCGGATTCAGGTGAAGGATGTTGGCTTTAGGGTTTATCGTGCATCCACCCAATAGCAGAGTGCGGATGGACATCATGCAGTCTGAGTGCTGGTTCGGAAGGGTATTTATGAATTCATCCAACCTAACTAACGCTGTATGCCTTAAAATGGACTTTGAACCCTACGAGAAAACCTGAGGAATTGAAACCAATGACGGTGCCTGGCACGATCGCGTGCCAGCATGGATCAAATTGGCCTGGCAGGACCTTCGCTCAAGTTGCAGGGTAGAGCTTTTGTGCTTCAGATCACATGTCAGAGTTTTCGGAAAGGCAGAGGCACGGTATCCGCATTGTGTTGGCTAGAGGAAGTTGTGAGCGGAAAAAATGAGGTTCTCGGCCACAAGCATATGTGCCTAAACAATGACGTCACAAGCATGGGCATAGAGCGCTGCTGATGCTGGCATACCTGTAGTCTCCATTGTAGTTCCTTTGTTTGGTTAGCCAAAATCTCCATATGGGATCCTAACCATAAAACTGGATAATCAAAAAAAGGGACAACAATGGAGACTATAGGTAGCATCCTAGTTGGAGCACTGCCGGGCTCCGGACCTGAATGAAGTAGGAAGCCTGCACACTGTATAGGAAGCCGGCTGCAAACATGTGTGCTCTGTGCGGGAAACTATCTAGGTCGGAAGGTTTTTGTTGAATGTGGCTTTTCATGTGACAGCTGTACTAGTAGTTGTTTCCTAGGCTTTTATGCTACTTCATACGATTCCGCATTGTTTTGCATCATGGATCTTGCGTTTGACACTATCTTGCACCATTTTGGCACTATCGGCGCACTATGTCGCATCGTCTTTGCATTGTTTTAGCTCACTGTAGCGCGAATTTTGCTCAGCATTGTTGGAAGGCCATCCAATCTTTCGTCAGCATTGACGCAAACGATCATGTTCATATTGGAGGGCTGTAGTAGCTCGAGTGCAATATATGTTTCTCCGCCGGCACCTAGTTTCGTCAAAACTGATGCAGCAGCAGCAGCAGCAGCAGAGGATAATGACGATGATCACAGTCACAGCGATTATGCTGTTTGCTGATGACGTGGTGATGATGCAGATGCCGGGTGATTCAGAGACGGGTCAGCTTTGCGTCATCATTGGCATCATAATCATCACCATCATCATCATCGTCATCATCACGAGAGTCACCGTTGTCGTCGCCATCATCGCAGTTATCGTCATCATCATCATCGTCAGCACCAGCAGCAGCACCTCATTGTTGTTATCACTGCCATCGTCAGCATCATCGTCTTGGTTCCCAAGTGCCATCATCCTCATCACCATCCTCATCCTCATCCTCATCCCCATCCTCGTCGTCGTCGTCGTCATTCTGAGTTCATCGTGAGCACGAACATGGTGAAGATGACAAGGATGACATTGTGATTGATGACGGAGAGGGGAAGAGAGGGAGGCAAAAAAAAGGTCGGTTGATTATGACTACTAGCAGCCCTGCCACTGTTTGTGACGATCTCGATCCCGTGTGTTAGTTGGCAATTAGGTACATCCCATGTTCTGAGGACCACAAAACCATGCTCTTCAACGGGGTGTTCTGGGAGCCGCCCGACGAGGACTCGTCAATCATGGCTCGCAGTCAGTTCGGTGTGATTTCTGCAATGCCAACACTAGGTCAGACTATCGTACACTCTCCATTCCAGTTTGATCTGTTGGCTACCCTAATTCTTTGTCATCGGATCCTACCCCAGCAGCAGAAACAAAAAAACCGGAACTATGCCGGAGGGCGTGGGGCCACCTGGAGCTGGCACCAAGGTTTGGGGTTCCCAGGGTTTCGGGCAAGAGGTTTCGGCTTACCATAGGGGGCCTTCATAATTGGGTTCCTTATTATAATCATAGTCTAGCGGGCCTCAAAACCCTATTCCAGTTCTTAAGGCCCCTACAGTAACAGCTTCATTCCTGCCTTGATGAAATCTTCTGCCCTTTCTGGACTGCACCTCGTCTGCGAGGTTGGCAGTTCTACGCTTTAATTATCCTTCGATGGACGATTGAATCGTGTTCTGTCGCAGACGAACCTTCTGATGCAAACTCAGAGCCACGATGCCAAGCTTTCCGTTCAAAGCCTCACAAGGGCCTAGAACAAGAAACCCACCGCATTCCCACGGGCTGTACGAACCCTGCAAGGGACCTTTCGCTGCAATAACGCCTGTCGACTCGCCCAACAAAATCAACCGGTGCAGCTGGCAAAGCAGGAGCGGTATGTCTTCGTGAACCCCCGACCTTCAAGGCGAAGGGATATTATATACTATATATTGTTATTATTATTCTTATTAGTAATATTATTACTATATATATATATATTATATTATATTATATTATATTATATGGGAGGGACCAGAGTCTGAGTCCCTAAACCCTAAACCCTAAACTTTAAACCCTGAACCCTAAACCCCAAACCGTGGCTCTGTCATAGGTCTCATAGCTAATATGCAGAAGTCCCTCATGAGAACGGGTTCAGGGCCAGGCTGTCGTACTTGTAACTACCCAGAGGCTCCTTAGTAGTTGCTTTGGGGGGTCATATTCAGAATCCTATAAGGCAATCCCAAGAAGGAACTACCATGGAGCATTTGGGTATGCTGGATCGTGCTACTGAAGTGGGTGCAAACTGCGGAGCGGCGTTTGCCGGTGCCACACTGCACGCAAGATTTCGGTTGGCAGGGGAGCGAGAAAGGAACGCTAGCTAGACCTTCAAGCTCTGAATCCATACTTGGCAACGCGAAACCTACACCTATCCTACACCCTTAGTCCTTGCATGTTAGCCGTTTTGTTACAGAGAGTTACAGCATGTAGGACACCGCCATGAAGATAATTTTCGCAACAACACGAAGAATCATGCATGGAAAAATGTAGGGTTCCTATAGTAGGAACTGCTAACATCATTTGGGGAAGTATCCCCCATAACAGTACCTAGAAAACTCCGTGCGTTCCAATTTCACTGAGCCGCCGCAGGCTCCAGACGCACACCCAAAGGGTCCTAGGTACTGTTATGGGAGTTTCCGAAAATTAGGGGAACCGTATTTGAGGTCCTTAGAACAAGCATCCTACTGTTCAGGGTACTATATTGGGGTCCCCTAATTTCGGAAACTCCCTTATGGAGGATACTTCCCTAAATCATGTTAGTAATTCCTAATATGGAAGCCCTGCATTCTTCTATATAGGTACTTTTAGAAGCACAAGCGCCCGGCCTTGAAACCGTGTCTGAAGTCTCCATGCTAATGGACACGCTCGTGAACTTTGGAATCCCAACCCCGTCCCGGACAAAAAACTAATTTAAACAGATCCTAAGACAATCCCTGGAGTTGGTCAAGCTGGAAGGATGTTCAGCAAATGCACAAGCCCCCGTCTCTCAAGACCGCAGCGTTTGCGATTCTTTGCAGCTTTGAGCCCTACAGGCCTGAACACAAACCCTACACCCCAAGGCCCAAAGTCACGGCCTCAAGGCCCAAACTCACAACCCCCGGCGAGAGCTAGAACCGTCGCCCTATCAGGCCAGACAACTTGAAAATTTATGAGGCTCATGCCTTCGGCCAGCAATCAGTTCGAAGGGACTCGGAGGTTCTTGAAAAGTCATACTTGGTTTACTCTGTCAGTGAAGGCGCTTTGCAATTGGGAGTTGTCGGGCAGAGTTCGAGAGCGGAGTTGAGTTAAAGAGCACGAGTTTGAGCTGCTACCACCACTACTACTACTACCACTGCTACTACTACCACCAGCACCACAACTACTACCAGGCCAACGGGGGCTTTTGGAGTTGGGGATTTGACCAGTGGATGGGGGTTCCAGGGCTCGATTTCAAGATCCTGTACATTTGTCAGAGGCTTCAGAGCACTAATGTAGGGGCCTTAGTAATTAGAAGAGGGTTCGGGGGTGTAGTATACATAGGAAACAAAGAAGGCCACTGCATTAGAGACCCCGGAAAGGTGGAGACCTCAAGCTCTTCATGTACGGACTTTAAGTAAGATTTTTCGCAAGCACGTAATGAGCCTAAGTTAACTGTAGGGCTCAGGAGGGATGAATGTTAGGGCTGACGGGTGAAGGTTTCTGGCTTGTAGGGTTCAGTGCCAAGAACGTCGATCCTGCAGCATCCAAACAAAATGCACACGTCAAGAAGCCAGACAGGCACCCGGCTGTCAATAACGACATTAGCGGGAAGAGCGGTCGTGCAGCAACGTTCCAGATGAGCTACAACGGCTTCATTTGCTTCACTAATTAGTTAGTCTTGATTACTTTTTTCTAAGGTTCCTTAATACTCTTTAGTCTTGATTACAATTTCTAAGGTTCGTTCCTTAATACTCTTGTGTTACAAGAACCCTTGCCTACTAATCCTGGCCACACTCAAAAAAATCCGCCCAGCTCTCACCAGCAAAGAAGAGCCCAAGACTCCTGAGCCTGGGACCATCATCCCTTACAGTATATTATTGTACACCATCGTCAGACTATAGTATATTATAGTATCTTGTAGTATATTCTAGTATATTATAGTATATTGTAGTATAGTATAGTTTATTATAGCATATTATAGTATAGTATAGGATATTATAGTACATGAACCCCCACAGGTAGCCCTTGATCACTCAATCCCAGCCTCTGACTCCAGGTCTGAACCAACGAAAACTCGAATCCGAAACCTGAGAATGCCGGTGTAGATCCCCATCCCCAAACAGTGAAAGAGAATCATACCACGACGACGGCGACCGGGAGCACTGGGAAAACCAGGATCGCCACGACAAGCCGGATCACGAGGAGACCACCAAGATGCACCAGGAAGAGACGAGGAGACCAGCAGAGACACCAGGCCACGGCAAGAATGTTTTCCCGCACATATTGGCTGGATGCACGTGACCAGAATGCTTCCCCCAAGTACTGGCGGGTTTCGGGAGCACGTGTAAGCCAAACCCTAAATTCTGAACCTTATGAACCCGAACCTGCCAAAGCCCTAAGGCCCCAACCCCCTCCCCAGCGCCCTAAACCCGAGACCCGTCTACCCTAAACCTTCCCTAGACCCTCCCTGAAGCCCCCTGTAGTCTAGAACACAACTGTGGATCCCCTTTAGACCCCTTCAAAGGAACCCTTCAGATGAACCCTATTCTGATGATTAAGGCCCCTATATTAAACCCTCCCGGAACCCCAAAGCTTCAGGTCGGGATGGGCTCGGTCGAGCCCAAGGTCGCCACATACGTGGAGTTTGCGGAGACCGTGCTGCCAAGGATCAAGCGCCGGGGGCCCGGCCTTCTTTTGTACGAATAGGGGCCTTAGTTATTAGAATAGTGCCTTTAAAGGGTTCTATTATAAGGTCTATATAGTAGGGTTCTATATTAGGGGCCTGAATAATTAGAATAGCAGAAAGTGTCACGGGGCCCATCTGTAGTTATAATAAGGAGCCCTCAGCATAGTATAGGTACTGATTTAGGCCCCTATACGTAGGGGTTCGTTTAAGAGCTGGGTTAGCATGAGGGCTGCTACTATGAGGGTGTCGTGGAGGCTTTGGGGATTGAGGGCTTGGGGTTTTTAGGGTTCAGGGATTGGGGTTTTGGTTCTTACGGTCTCAGTTTTCGGGTTGACAGGGTTTTGTTCGGGTTGGGCCAGGCGTTCTCATGAAGGAATGTGT